TGCACTTAATAAGCAATAAAAGACCTTCAGGTGTGCTCGGGTTTTTGCCTCCCGCGCTGATGGCTCCAGCGCTGTCCCCACAGGTGTTTCTTGTTAAGGTTGTAAAGAGCCAGAGCCTCATCCCAGGTGCTTCTGGTTTAGAAATTAACACTTTTTTGTTGTTTGTTTGAATGCCAAGGGTTACTCAGCTTTGGGGCTCTGCTATCAGCATCTCTGCTGACAAGTTTGGTGATCACTGCTTTTTAGGACACAAGGATCCATGTCCAAGCACTGGACAGTGATTTCTGGCAGTTTAGGACCTGCCCTGGGGGTCACTGACACTGTGACCATTTGGCTTCTGAAAACGCACATTTTCCTGGTATCTCCTGCTCTGAACATCCCCCAGCTTCTCCTGTGTTTTCTCTGGATTTCACCACACCTTAACCCTAAATATAGAGCACCATTTTTGGGTAATTAGAGATTCTTAATTAATTGGAGTTATGGATTTAAAGACTCAAAGCTTGACAAATGAGCTCAGGCAAGAGTTGGAGAAAATTCCTGGTCCCAGGTAGCTGCCCTGGCGCTGTGCTGGAGGTTAATTACTGTTTCTCCAAATTATGTGTGCCTCTATCCCAGCTCCAATCCAGCAGCCAGCTCTGTGCTCTCAGCTCTCCAGCAATCCCCACACCTGCAGCTGTTCGTGGAGTTTGGGGTTTTCTCCTTTCTCCATGGAGCTGCAAAGAGGGAAGGACAGGATGAAGATCTGGCAGAAGTAATTTCTGCTTCCAGACAGGATCCCTCCTGCCAGAGAGCTGAAAGCAAATATTTTCCCTTCTCTCTCTTTAGCCATGGAGCTGGCAGAATTTTCAACCAATTTCTATCGCTAAAGAACTGTTTCAATCAATTACAAATAATTGTTTTATTGCAGCAATCAGCTGGAGAACATTATCTTTCCAGCCCTTGGTTTTAACTGCCACTTCCCCCTTGGTTTTATGCTGATTGACCTGGAAATATAAACTCTAAGCTCACCTAAAAGATCTCTCCTGTTCTTTGGTTCATTGTCAATCTCTGCACTTTCTGCTGCACTCACAAGTATTTGAGTTTTGTGGCACAGAGCAAGTGGTTGTATTATTCCATGCTGTTAATTTTAAATTATGGGCAAAAAATATTCTGTATGAATATTTAGGGAATGTGTCATGGCCCTGTGAGAAAAGAAGTCTTCACAAGAACCAGTTAAAAAGGGCTGTTTAGCTAAAAGGGAGGAAAAAGGGAATATTTGTGGGCAGCCCTTACACAACAATGGTACATGGAAACCAGCTGGAGCATCCCTGTGAGACACAGGAGCATCCAGTGACTGCAAAGGGGCATCTGGAACTGGCAATAAACTCATTTCTATAACCCTGTGGAAGTGAAAAGGGAAGAGGCAGAAGGCAGCAAATGATACAGGACAGAATCTGAAAATCTCCTAAAAAATGGTTCCAGGGGAGCCCCTGAGGGATTTTGGCAGAGGTCACCCATGGATGGTGGGACACGAGGCACAGAAATGTCCTGAGTGCCACAGCTGCTTGGAAAACACCCAGATTTCACAAAAACACCCCTGGCTTTGGGAACAAATCCCCAAATTCATTTCCTGAGGCTCAGCTCCTTGGGTCACCATCCCAAATGGATCCTGTAGGGTTTGACAAAAACTGGCTCCGGGTTCTCCACACTAAACCTCATTATCAATAAACACATCATTCAGAGATTTATTTTAGTGACGGGGAAACAGCTTTGTCCCTAACCTTGTGTTCTCTTAGTGAGGTAACAGTTTGGGAACAAAGTGTGAACAGCACCCCATTTTTTTCAAAATAAAATAAAATAAAATAAAATAAAATAAAATAAAATAAAATAAAATAAAATAAAATAAAATAAAATAATGCAGCTGTTATTGCAGAACAAGTTGCCAAAGGCAGCCCAAACCCCTGTCAGGAGAGAGGCTCCAAACCATAATTAGGCCAAAATATCTACAAGGATGTACATAAACACTCCATGCAGGAAAATAACAGAGGAAAAAGGGCTGCAACAAAGCACAGCCAGCTACACAAGCAAGGCAGACCCATTTCAATCTGCATTTCTGGGTTTACTCATATTGCAAAATTCTGAAGGGACAGGCAGCAGGGCTGCAGCCATGAGTCAGGGAGAAATAATAAATAACAGCGGAATAAGTGGAGGGCAAATTAAAACTGAGTCAGGAATAAAGTGAACTGAAATCAGTTTCTAAATTAAGACAAAAGTTCTATTTTTATTTAATATTTTACTGGTTTCTCATCATTATTTCTCCCTGAAGTTGCAAACACCAGGGGGAAAAGTTTCTTTTTGAGCTGAAAGCAGCAATGCCATGAAGTCCCACAGTTTGGTGAGGTGGACTCTTGACTAACCCTAATTTGCAATTAATGCTGTGTGGTAATCAGGGCTCTCTCAGGTGATGCCTGGGTGCCACAG